GGTAGGAATAGATCATAATAGGAATAGAGACCTCTGAATTCTGGTACAGTGGTGCAGGTCATTATGTTACAGCTGTGTGGTATCTAGTTTTAATTGCAATCTTTTCATCAGATTTATGGTCTTTATGTTGTTACAGGTTGCTTACCGTCAACAAATTTACAGTGTACAAAGTAATTTGCCATAAACATTAAAAATGYAATGCAATTTAAAGAAACTATATTGTTTTTTGTCTTACACTGTCATCATATTTGTATGGTAAAATTCTTGCTACTACAGTTGCAATTTTTTTCCTCTAAATATATTTCATATTTAAGTTCAAAGTTTAGAATAAAATATTGTCTTGCTTGGACAGCACAATATTAGTACTGTTGCATCGAGACTAGTGGGTAAAGCCACCTGGTTGGGCCTGGAGTTTTTCTGTGTGGAGCTTGCATGTTCTCCTCGTGTCTGTGGGAGTTTTCTCCGGGTACTTCGGTTTCCAAAAACATATTTACGTTGCCTTCAGGCTCAGGCCTCCCTCGAAAGGTGATCTGCAAACTCAGTGGGATTTGCCTGGTTAAATAAGTGTTAATAAATATGTTTTACAGAATCATTTTCATTGTTTCATCTAAGAACTGTTATTAAACTTAAGGTATGCAAGCTGTTAAAGGTTATTTACCATAAAGCCTGGAAGCCCCCACTCTCCTGTTTTTAAATGAAAGATGAAAGTAAAGCCCTCAGATGGGAAGCAAAATATCTTCAACTAAAATAAAAGTTCAGTTACTTTGTTGCCATTAAATCACTAACTGTGATCATATGCTCAGCTTCTTCCACCTTCAATCAAAAATAATAAAATGTACATAAACAACACTGATCCTGCTGCTACTAGAATCCACTTGTATGCTGATGACACCATTCTGTATATATTAATTCTGTCTGATGGTTACCCCGATCTCCTTACAGAATTGTTTCCTTTCTCTAAAACCACAACTAAACTAAGGATTGTTAATCAGAATCTACCTCTAATATGCTGTCATTCTAACATCTTCACCCCAGACAGTACAGCATTGCAACATGTCAGCTCTTAAGTGGATGGACTGACATTCACATCAATGAAATACTCTCTAAAGTTTCCTGTATCACAGAAATCCTTCACTCATTCTACTGAGCACATAAGAGTCCAATAAGCCACTGACGCCATCTTAAATTGACATCATTTATGTATTTGCACTCAAAACATCTCTTTAAAAAATGGATTTGTTTACCATGTTGCAATCTGTTTTGCAACATGTGCTTCCCTCGACACTCATCACTGTAATCTGAATTTGTTAGACAAAAGATCATCATTTCATTTAATATTGAAATGGTTTCAGAATTTATTTACAAAACCTTCATTGGTAAAACACCCTTACATATTTGTTCTTTACCCAACATTTCAAACAACCATCATTTGAACTCTATTTACTTTATCATTCATAAAGCGTGCACCTCCTTTAGTCATTTCTTATTCCAGTTTGCTGCCACTGACTGGATTGGTTTAAAAAAAGTTTAAAGCTCCACACCCTTCTTCCATTTTCCATYTTCAGTAATTCCATACGATCATTAGTTTCTTCTCAGTGTACCGGCAATCCCTTGAATTGTTTGCAATGTAAACATTTGTAACGCATTTCTTGCTTATTCATCTTTACTTGCAAGATTGCAATCTCCACATTTTTATGTTTTTATTTTTATGTGAGCATGTTTATTTATTGTGATTGAGTTTTACCGAGTCCACTGGACGCAATAAAACTCTTCATCAAGCTCATTGCCAAGGCTTTGTTCTAAATGAGAGTTCTCTATAAATCAACCTGAATAAATGAAATTAAATATAATAAAATAAATATGTGTAATCCCCACCTGAAAACTGAATAGAAATACACAACAATCACAGACCAGTGAAAGATTTTTTAAACTCACTTCTTTGTTTTTATTTATTTTCCAAATGAAAAAAAGCAACAAATAAACCAGAAATAAATTATGTAGTGAAATGTTGCTACGGGTTTTTTTTTTTTTAAAATGTGTTTCGTTCAGCTTCTGTTAGTGAGTAAAAAATGTCATGATGTTAAAGTCTTTTGTGTTTAGATTATTTTTTTCCTTTTTTTTCTTTTTTGAATTTCAATATTCTGTTAATTTTGCCCAAAAACCTCCTCAGTAGTCTGTATTCCCACCTGTGCTTCATTTGTAATCAGCTCACCTGTCTTTGATCCAGCAATCATCCTTTCCAGTTCTTATCCTCCTACTTTTCTTCAGCTCATTGTCACAGCATCTGTTCACCACAATCTTTTTCTGTTGTTTCGACTTTAGTTAATAAACTCAAGTGGTCTCTTATATACCTCTTCCCACTTTCCATCACGTGTGATACAAGTAAAATCAGCAACTGTTGTCATAATCACCCATAACTTCCAACTTTAAGAGAAAGAACAAAACCATCATYTTTTATACTCACATAAATGAGAGCAAAAGGACCAGCAAAGCGAGCTGGTTTGACTCCAAACAGGTATTTGAGTTGAGAGACACACACATGACAAGCTGATGCTGTTGTGTACCCACGAACGAGRGGTTCGGACAGGTAGGTCACCACAAAACCAAACCTCACCACGCCCAGCAGGATCTGGGAAGAAATGTRATAATAAAGTTTGTTTTATTTCCAGCAATTTCACTGATGTAATGAATGCGGTTCGAGACACACCTGAAAAATTCCTGCCAAGACTGTGAGGGAACACGCTATCTGCACTCTCATCGAGTCCCTTACGGCAATGTTCACGTCTTCTGTCCCGTTGGTCCCGTTTATAATAAAGTTGCTGTCGGGGGCCAGCCTTTCTGTCACGCTCCCGATCATGAGGCTGATTATAGCAAACGTACCTGGAATCACAAACCACACACATGTAAATGTTGTGCTTTAAAAAAGAAAACGGTCAGTCACTTTGTTTAACTCACAGGCTTCCACTCACCTAAAGAGATGTGTTTGGAKGTACCAAAGATGAAGTAGACCAGCACCGGGTAGAAGGAGGTGTAAAGGCCAAACACTGGGCGCAAAGAGGCCAGAAGRGCGTACGCCATGCCTGTTGACACAGACTTCAGTGAGAGCTTGTCTTCCAGCAAAGGTACGCGTTTGTTAAACATTTAGGTGCACACATGATTGTTGAAGTCATGGTAAGCTCTTTATCCAATATGAAGATGATTTTATCATTGTGTCCATCCTTCTTGATGAAATCTTTAGGCATTTATTTCACCTAAACAGTAATGTGACAAAAACTAACACCTATGCATTAGTTTAGTATGTTATATAATCAAGCTGCTGAGTGTGTAATGCATTAAAAATGAACCGAGTCTGTTAATGATTGCAAAATGTGCTTCAAACCTTTCATTAAGTGGTAAAATTATCACTTTTTCAAGTTTTGCACTATTGAAAACCTCTTTTATGAAAACATTTATATTTTTACTCAATTTATTCTGACYCAAACTTTGAGTTGAGTTTTATCAAAGCACACATACACTCTCTTTCTCTCACAAAACAGCACAAAAAGGTTCAAAAAAGTATTTTATTACAGCAAATATCAGTTTTGTAAATGACAAAAACCGCATTTCACATGTTTCTCTCTGTACCRTCTGCTGTAATAAAGATACATCAAACTGTAAAAATAAAGCTGATTCAGATGTCCATCCAATGAAAATGGAAAACAATACCGGCAGTTTTTTTTTTATATCACACATCTGTTTATAATAACCTGTAAAATCAAGGCAGCTCTTTTTGTCTGCCCCTAAAACTTGGCAACATTTTCTAAAATGTTAAACTCCTGTAAAATGGGAAATCTGCAAAGATTTTAAAGCATTATTTCTGTGGTCTTACTGGTGTACAGATATGTATGCACAGTTTATTAAAATATCTAAATACATGGATACAAACCCTGTGGCAGATGCATGATGCCCACACTGCATCCAGATATCAGGTCACCTAAAGCATTTTCTCTGATGGAGTAATGAGGCAACCAGGAGAGGACGGGGATCCGGGTCAGAACTATGTGCTTCAGCCTGGGAACAGTACACCTGYAGAAGCACAACACAGAGGAATCATGTTGCAGGCTTTTATCTTCAGAATCCCAATTTCTGCGAGGCAAATTCAACAGCAATTTGATTTATCCAGCTGGTGGGTTATTGGCTTTTGGAATAACTGAACAGTGAATACAAGTAAAAGGAACAGAGAGATGAGGGAAGTGAGCTGAGCCACCTGCTGCAAGTTTTATCAGTTGGCCTTGAGAAGCTGGAACACTGTGGATAAAGAGCAGCAGACTGAAACAAAATAGTTTATTTTTATTAAAATGTCAAAATGCCTGCTACAGTGAAGACATGAGTTTTCCCTAAAGAGGTAAAAAAAAAAACACCCCCTGATCAAATGTCAGCATGCCTTTAAATGAATAAGCGGACATTTTATTTATCAGATGTTCCCGTTTGTCATAAGCAGTTTCAATAAAAACATTCATACAAGGAAAATGTTTTTTTTTTGTTTTGTTTTACATATAGATAAGGAGTTATTGTACAAAAACACAAACAGTGATGTCAAAGTACAGACATTGAAATGTAGCATTTTCACTCGGTTTATGTCTATGTTTTCCATTGTTTTCCATCCTGTATGTCCTCTCATGTTTTTTATTTTTATTTTTTTTACCTGAATGACTCTTTGATCTGGTCACCCACGGTCGGTTTGGTGGACCACGTCCCTTTTTGTGCCACTTCMTCCAGCCGAGGCTCATCGAGGACCTCCCGCTGCACCACATAGTCCTCAGAAGACCAGCGTCTCTCCATGTTCCTGTCTGTCTGAGTGAATTCAGCTGCTGTCTGTTTGAGTTCCTGCTCTCTGCTCAGGGGTCTGTGTGACAAGACGACACGTGTCAGATGGGACCACAGCAGAGTTCAGTGCTGCCTCATGCTGCGCTTGTCTCTTTTTGAACTGGAGGAGTGAACTCTCCTTTTCTGTCCTTATATGAGACACCAGGAGTCCAACTCTGCATGTCCCTGATGTCCATACACCCACAAGTTAATGTGTGTGTGCATGTGTGTGTGGTGYCTTTGTATGATTAACTTGCAGTTTGAATGCCAAACTTCATCAAAAACAAAAAAGAAAAAGAAAACCATGACTCAAAGGGACACACTGAGACTTTGCAAATAATTTATGCAAAATGTTTCTCTTTTGGATGCAAGTGCAGCAAGATGTGTAAATTATCTAGTGGATTTCTGCGCTACTTTTTGCTGCTGACTCATTGCTGTTATTATTGTCTGTGTGAAGTAGTTAGACTGAAAAAACTTATCTTTATGTCCAAGTGACGTTCATTTCTGAGGAAATAAAGTAATAAAATTTAGAAAAAACTGAACTCATTGTTTGTTTGTTTTTTAGTTTTTTTAGTACTAACAGTTCATTTTTTAAAAATGTATTGTTGCTCTTTTTCCTAATTAACAGAATTTGCATCTTTACCTAAATACAGAAAGTCTTTTTTCTTCTTTATTTAAAAGCTTCTTTTTGGCTCTGAGCCAACAGTGGAACTGCAGTTATTTTATTATTTTTTGTGTGTGTTTGTCACTGAAAGCTGTCATTGCTTTATGTGAAAAGCTTCTCACGTTAAGATGTTATTTTTTTTGTATTTAAAATAAAGCATACATTTTGTAATGGAGTATTTTTTCAATTTATTATTTTTTTATTAAAATTAATAAAAAATATGGCAGTAATTACTTTTATTAAGCTTTTTTTAATCTCTTCTTGGTGCCAGCTAAAATTGTTTGCCAGATTTTTACCATGCTTTCCCTCTAAAACCTTTGACTCCAGTTCACCATTTACAGTTTTCTGATGTATTTCTGATCAAGTATCAGTTGAATTCATCACCACCAGACTGGTCATTTAGTAAAAATTTCAGGTGTGTTTAGGATCATTACCCTGATTTGTTCATTTTTTCGTGTTTTTACATAGTGTGAGATAAAGTTTGCATGAATCATATTCTTCTTTTAATCAGAGAACATGACAAGGAATGCAAACACCTTATTTTGAGATGCTCAGGATGCTAAACATCATCCAGTGATGTGGGAACTGTTTTCAGTGCTGCAAACATTGATGATTCATAGAATTGTTAAAACATTTGAGGCAAAAGAGCTCCTGCTTCCCAGATTTTATACAAAAGCGTGTTTTACCGATTTACTGAGCTGAATTTGAGGAACAGTGATGTCAAAGGGGACATTACTCTGACTGACGTAAGCTTGTGTCCTGTGAAAAATAAATTACTCTTCAATCGAAGAGGAAAGTGAGGCATTTTGGTGTTTTCACCTTCTGCCTCCTTGATTGGCTGTCAGCGCTCATTCGTCTCACCTGTGAGGGATTGACTCGTTACTCCCAGGCTTTATAAGGCTGCYTTGAGGATCAGTTCATCGCTGAARCATTGCTACTGTTTGGTAATGATCTCTGTTATTAGTCTTAAGATACCTGAGTTTAACTAAACATTGTGTTTCTGTACTTACCGGTTTCCAGACTGAAGAAAGTTTTTAYAGATTCCCTGATCCTGCCTGTTCTCACCTGATCGTTCATGTGCTGCTTGTTTGCCCCCAACTCACCTGTAAATAAACACTCACCTGTAAATACTCCCCTTGTGGACCTTGGACCCTGGACCAGCTCCTCCACACCAAAGTCTTATCCCCAACCTGTAAGAACAAGTTATGCTTATCTCTCTGCAAATACGTTTTTGGACATCCTGCTAAAATACTCACCTCTGCTTCCAGGTCCCGTCTCCAGCACCAATTCCTGTAAAAAAATATACACTTACCTTTTCATTTTGTCTCCGACTCTATTGTCTCTGGTATTTGCTCACGTCGACTCAAGTTTTTTGTAATCCTGATAGAACGTCTGTTTAACTGAAGTTTTATGAAATGTTAACCAGTGTTGTATTTTCATCAGTCTTTATTTCCAGGTTTCAACAGGACAGTTGTACAAAGAACTTTTTTTGTACTTTAGACACATAAAGCCCCAAATATTCATTGTCTTTGTAGTTACTTTAAGGCATTTTTGTAATTTAGTGACCACTGGCAAAACAGACCCCACCACGGATACGGGTAAAGGAGCAACTCACTCTTATGTGAGGATGTTTTTACTTTTACGACAGAAAACAACTAACAGCAATAGATGAGTGTTAAAGGAAGYATGTCTGCACATATTAACTTTGTCTTTGTCACACATGTGTAAATGTGTGATGGCAGAGCATTTAAAAGAGCAAGCACAAAACGAAGAATAGACTGTCTGATCTGATAGAACATTCATTTCTTGGACTGAGTGTCGGTCTCRAGGTAGTAAAGAAACTAAAGGAAAGGGTTGTAAAGATACTGAGCACCACCCAAGTTAAGTCTTTAAAGGATGGGATTCTTCCACTAATACCTTTAGGCTCAAGACTGACTCTTTATCAAAAGGTAAACAGGCTGTAAAGGTTAGGCCTTTTTCTGTTTTGAGTTAAATAATAACCTTTAAAGGAGTTGGAGTCTTTTTTTAAACATTGTCAAAAGTTCAGTTTGTATAAATAAAGTGAATGGAAATTCTAGAAAATCTTATGTTGAAAACTGAGCAAAGCATCAATCGGCTGAAAAGACAAGTTTTGAAGGAAGTAATGGTGTGGTGTGTAAATATATTGGATTGTTCAAAGCAGAGAATGTAGTRAAGAGCAGACCTGAAGAAGCACACAAGAAAACTCTTTTAGTACTTAAAATGACCAAAAACATAACAGCCAACATCCTTCTCAAAGATTTTTTTGACTTCAAGCAGCTGGTTGCACAGATGGACCAAAAATTCATAGCTTCARTCAGAGAGGTAACCAACAAGCCAGTGGCCACACTGAATAAGTTTCCTAAAATTTGAACCATTTTTTTTAAAATACAAGGCACATGACTATTTATTGGAAATGTAACTATTATAATTAAATTCATCATATTTATATGTGTGGCTGAAACAAGCTTCCTTCGTAGGGTGGCCGGGCTCAGCCTTAGAGATGGGTGAGCAGCTCCATCATCCGGGGGAAGCTCAGAGTAGAGCCGCTGCTCCTCCACATCAAAAGGAGTCAGTTGAGGTGGTTCGAGCATCTGATTAGGATGCTTCCTGGATGCCTTCCTTTAGAGGTGTCTATGGGGATGCACATCCCACTGGTAGGAGGCCCTGGGTGGGGGGGGATCCAGGACTCACGGGAGGTATTATTTATCCTCTCTGGTCTGGGAACAACTTGTGGTCCCCCAGGACAAGCTGGAAAGTGTTGTTTGGGAGAGGGATGTCTGGGTTTCTCTTCTGGTTGCCTCCATGACCCGACTACGAATAGGTGGAAGAAGATGGAGATATTTATATATGCTTAGTACAAAACRTAAGGAAATGTGTGTTTGGTAGATTGTTTCTTTGTTGTAACAATGCTTCTGGACAATACTGTAAATCGTATGATTGGCACCTGATTGTCCACATCTGGGTGAAACAGAAGCTCAAAACAAGCCAACAACAACAGCAGAAAAAGTTGGTTGATGCCAAAGGTGACATTACTCCAACTGAAGTAAACTTGTGTCCTGTGAAAAATAAAATAATCTTCAGTCAACGAGGAAAGTCTGTTTAACTGAAGTTTTATGAAATGTTAACCAGCTCAGCACTAACTGTGGATAATTACAGCCTGGCAGCTGTTTGCCTGATGAACTTTTAATTTTTGTTCATATGATTTGAAGAGTAAAGTCTGTCTTTTTACATTCTGATACTAAACTCATTTGGACACAACTGTAAGTGTCTAATCTGTGCAAACACACATAATTTACTGATGTCTAAAGAGAAGTGCATACAAGTAAAGATGACACAAAATATAATATTTAATTGTTCTGGATGTGGTAACAAGTGTCTACAATATATTCTTATGACATATACAGGTACAATGACAGAGAAGATTTGGTGAATTTTTCATGTACACAACCCACATACTCAGCTCTACTCATCTCGCAAATGCATGTTCCTTACACATGTGGCTCCATTTAAAAGGGAATTTAACAGGCTTTCCAACAACACAAGATTTATTGCCAAGAAGCATTGTTAAAACAAAGGAAGTGGGAGACATAAGACATTGAGTATCAACTTGGTGTTACCCTCCTTAAAATGTTAAAATGGAACAAAACATTTGCAGAGGTCCAACCAAAAATTCTGAGAACATTAAGGCTGGAACACCACAAAGTGGAAACTCGTGTCACCTCCAGTAACCTATCCGGGAAGCAGACACGCCTCCCGTCACATTTATTCCAACCCATTCTCACTCCCGAGTCGCGTCAAAATAAGACACAGAGGGAACTTTGGGAAAGCATCAATATGTTGACGAGTCGGGAGTGAGAATGTGTTATTTATTCATGTGATGTTCCACAAGATGCCTGCTCTCTGCTCTTTGAGCATTTATCGCAGTTTTACTGTCCTCGTTTCTCCATGAAAGAAGCATCAAGACCGAAAACCAAATGATGACTCCCTTATCTTAAGACATTTGGACATGGTTTACAAAAAAGGTTTTTCTTTTCAGTAGATTTACTGTACTCTACTGTATTTTGTAGGTATGTCTGTCAAATTCTGTAAGTGGGTGTGTACAATTTCTGAGTATATGTAGCAATCTTGATGAAGTTCACGTTGTTGTCACGCACATGTCAGCACTTTTAGTTTCACTCTGTGGAAAATGTTTATGGTCAATTTTAAGAAGCTAAAAGACTATTTCACAAAACTTGGATAAAGGATTGTCAGGGTTATCTAGTCAACTCAACTTAACCTATCCTTGTTATAGATGAAGATTTACTCAAAGCAGCCTGCATCTGAATAAAGTAAGGATTAGCTATAGTACGTCTAGACTGTTTGCCTATAGGCCGAAGTAACTTTGATCAAAAATATTCTTGTACATTTAAAGCAGTAAGTCATTATTTTATAATATACAGTAGTATTGTATTTACTGAGTTCTAGTATCTCCTCAGCCTGGCTGGCTGTTTGTGAAAAGAATTCTTTGAAAAGGCTCTGTGAGCAGCTTTCTTTTCTGATGACTATATTTTGCTGTTATAGAGTGGTAAAATTTCAATTATTTTAAACTTGTGCACCTAATTACTACATAGTTTTTTTTATTATTTTTAATTTTTTTATTAATGCTTGGTGTGTTTGTGTCCATAGATATCTAAACCACTGATTATAACTTTAGCTTTTGGCCATTTATTTCAACATATCGTGTCACGACCAGTCTTCTGCTTTTTCCTTTCCACTGTTGCCAGTTTTATTTCCGCAATTTTTCACAGTTGTTTCACTGTGCTGCTCAGGATGGGTGACTGTGATGAAGTGAAGATTCAGCGCAATTTGCTGGTTTTCTTAGATTGATTGTTCAATTCAGCCTTAATCATCCCTTCTATCAGAGCCAGGTCCTGTAGAAAAACTAGCACATCTGCCTGTAACTATTAGAGGTAGTTTGAACCCAACTTAGTTACAAAAAAAAGGAAAAAAAATCTGACGATGCAGAAAATATACTCCCAAGTAAGAGTCTCAGGAGGAACATGAGGGAGAACAAAAACCATCAACGGCTTACAAGCACCACTAGTGACCCAAAATTGAAAGAGCCACAAACGACCAAAAAAGGCAAACATGCAGGGAAAGGAAAATGTGGAACAGGTGAGAGAGAGAATGGGACAGAAACTGGAACTCAACGACTAACTGAGGTTAATTTTAACCAGCACTCCAGATCCTCAATTTAAGGTTTAAAAAATAAATAAATAAATAAATAAAACAGCCGTCACCCAGCTCAGTCCCTCTTTCTCTCCTGCGGAGAGAGAGAGAGAGAGAGAGAGAGAGAGAGAGAGAGAGAGAGAGAGAGAGAGAGAGAGAGGAATGTCATCACAGTTGTTTTTGCCGTTTGCAGATTTGAAAACAAACTCCCAGGTTAAATTATAGTGTAATATTTGAATGAGAGCAAGGCCTGGCAGCACAGCCACCTCTGGAAACTTGAACTACTTTCACTTCACCAGGTCCTGAGGGTCTATTTTAAACTTGTACACTCTCGCCACAAATAGAGCAGAACACAAGACAGCATGCAGAAATAAACCTGCCTGCATATATATAAAATAATAATAATAATATTAATAATAATGCTGTAATGTAGTCTTAGGAAACTTCTAGCTSTTGGTCTGGGAACTCTTTTGGACACCACTGGTTTGTAAACTGCTCGTTTGATTGTGCATGCTAAWGTCATGCTAACATGCTTTACTCGTACTGAACTGCTCATGCACACCTTTGAAGTGGCTTGCTTATGTGTTGCTCACTCAGTGACTGTCTCTCAGGGAAGTAATCAGTTTGACAACATAGAAATGCAAAGAAAAAAATTGGGAAAAGACATTCGGCACATTCCCAACCCAGCAGTGAACAACCTGAAGCCCTCAGCTGATTGTATTAGACAGAATTGAAACTCAGTGGATTTGACCTATTTGTTTGGAATTTGAAGAGATGGTTAAATTTGACACCAGCAACATGTTTCAAAGCAGTTTGGACAATAAACAGATTTAGTTTTTGCTTGAATGATAAAAGTATTGAAATAAAAAAAACGTGTTTTTTGGCACTTTGCCATGAGACTTGTTATATAAGTGAGTCTAATAACAAATTAATAAAATAAATTCTTTCTATTTTTGTAATTGTTTGGGGTCAATTTAAGAACAACTATCTACAACAAGAATCCATGGAGACAGAGGTCCAGCCCTCTTCTCGGGGGGATCATGGCTCAGTTCTGTTAAAGCAGCTGGACAGGATGAGGGCAGCAGAGGAGCTCACAGATGTGGTGCTGCTGGCTGAGGGAATTCCCTTCCCATGCCACAAGGTTGTGCTATCTGCATTCAGCCCTTACTTCCAGGTAAAAAAAAAGATCACACAGAGCATTTATGTTGCAAAGCATTGCTCCTTTTAGTGTTTCTGTGACCTTGGTGTCCAGGCCATGTTTACGTGTGGTCTGAAGGAGACCCGGGGAGCAGAGGTGCCTCTCAGAGACACTCCTGCTCGGAGTCTGGAGCTGCTGCTGAACTACATGTACCGTGCTGAGCTCCCCCTTTCAACCAGTAACATCCAGATGGTTGCTGCTGCTGCCTTCTTRCTTCACGTGGATGGAGCCTTCAGGTGGGTCGTATGGGTTTTGCTTGTTTGTCCATTAAGCAACAAGTATTACCAACATAAAGAAGCAGAGATGTGTTTTTATGTCTCACATTTCCATGTTGCTGTCTATTTAAGGTTGTGTCAGAGCTACATGGAAGCCCACATGGACCCATCAAACTGTATCGGTTTGTACTGCTGGGCCAGAGATCTCGGGGCCACAGATCTGTCTGACTGCGCCCTGAGATTCATCTGTCAACACTTCACACAGGTGGGGCTCTTTGTATGGCAGGCCATTTTAACAATTTTATCATAAAATTTGAAAGTGGATTAGACACACACACACACACACACACACACACACACACACA